CCATCGCGTTTTGATGGCTCACGGGGGCAGTTCATTAAGCAATCAACCCTTTTAATGAAATATTTCTTTGTTAAAATATTCATTGATCTGCCGCGGGTTTGCAGGGGAAGGACCGTGTGTCCCGAATGCTTTTCTGTTGAGTCTTCCCAGGCACACGCTGGGTTGTGCCCTGGCATTGCCAGCACGGGAATTCCCACAGCGACCCTTGGCAGGGACCCTCCGGGGAGCCTGGCTGAGCCCTCAGCCTGGAACAAGGATCTGGGGCTTTCCAGGTCTGTTTTCCCCACCTCTGTCCTGCTGTTCTGCCTCACGATGGCTGAGGTGTCACACACCAGGCCCTTGGCCCTTGGAGGGATGGTGGGGTGGACTCTGGTCCCCCTTGGGCAGAGTGTTGGTGCTGTGGTGGCTGGTGCCATGTGGGGATGTCATGGCAGAGACAGGGGAAAGTTGGGCCAAGAGTGAGTGGAAATGGGCAACTGTGGAGTGGTGGAAGTGGGCAGAGCGGGAAGAGGGGGTCCCAAGAGGAGGGATGAGTTCTTCTGGCTGGATATGAGGGAACAGGGGCCATTTTGCACCCGTGGGACAGTGCAGCAAAGGGCATTTTACATCCCACGGGGACTTAGCCAGACTCTCCAGCCCCAGTGTAAGACCAAGGAGCTCAGGGAGCCAGGATGGAGAACACTGGCAGGAGAAGAAAGAGAGGAGGGGAAAAAAATATATCAAAGAGTGAGAAATGAACAACTGCAGACAAAGCACCGAATCTGGCCTTCCCCCTCCTTCCTCAAACCTTACACCATGAGTAATTCCCGCTCGGCACCGTGACGGCTCAGACAAGCAGCCACCACGTGCGAGTGAGCATCTCCCCGAAGGAAACAAGGCAGACAAACCCCGGGAGCAGGGAGTGCAGACGGGAGTGGTGGGTGCCGGGTCCTGCTCCAGATGAGTAACGTTATTGGAAAAGCAGAGAAACGAAAAAAAAAAAAGAGGAGAGGGAAAAAAAAATAACCCCCTAAAAGGCGGCACACGCCGATAGGGAGAGGGGAGAGGGGAGCCAGGTGTCCTGTGTCCGTGTGTCTGTGCTGGTGGCACAGCTTGGCTCGACACGGCTCGCAGGGTTCTGAGGCGGGTCCGGCTCCGTCGGGGCTGGGAGTCCTGCAGCTCCTCCGCTCGCAGCTCCCTCCTCCCCCAGGCTGAGGCTTTGCAGGCACGGAGGGAAATCGGTCACTGCCTGGAGACCCCCCCCTCGCCACATCCTCCTCTCCCTGGGTGGGAGCAGCACTCCCAGGCACCGGGGGTTTTGCCTTTCCTTTATCCATCACCTTCGGCTCCCTAAAATCCAGCCGAGCCCGGGCTGCCCGTGCCATGGGGGGAAACTGAGGCACGGCCCAGCTGCCAGCCGGGGGGGCTGCCAAGGGTTGGGGTCAAGGTTAGGGCTGAGGCTGAGCCCAAATTGCTGCACCCCCCCCAATATTTCCCTGTGTCCCCCCCTCTGTGCGCAGCTCCCGGGGTGTCGGGATCCCCCCTCCTGGAGAATCCCCGAGGGATTTCTGGCCGAGCTGCCGGGGTCCCGCCGGCCGGGGCAGGGGGAGCTGTGCCAGCCCCCGGGCAGGCAGCGGCCTGCGGCTTTCACAGGGAGCCAGGAGCCGCTCATCACTTACAGGAACTCGGTGCATCATCGCTTGGCTTTACGCAAGAGGCGAGCGGGGTCCAAGAGCTCCGCAGCGGCCGCGGCCCCGCCAGCGCGTCCGGGCAGAGCCGGATCGCTCCGTGTGCTCGGCAGCCTGCGAGCCTCCCACCTCCCACCTCCCTCGGGGGGTCTGCGCGGGACCCCCGGGCTCGCCAGCCCTGAGCCGGCGGGGGATGCGGCGCACGGAGCTGCGGGTTTGCCCCGGGAGGGGCTGGTCCCGCTCCCGGGAGGAGCCCCGGGATGAGCCCCGGACCCCCGGGCAGGGCAGGGAGCGGGCACAGGGCTGCACCGTGGGCACTGCTGGGCACCGCAGCTCCACAGGAATGACAATGGCTGGAGTAATTTGGGTGGAAAACCACCTTTGCTGCTCGTCTCTTGGAATTCCCACCTTGGAAAGGATGGGAATTTGGGGTTTTGCTGTGTCAACGCAGAGCTCCATGCCCAAAACACTGCTCTGAAAGGGAAAAGGTACTTTCTTCCCTCATTTTCTCCCTATTTTCCTATCCCAAATTCCCTTCCTTCTCATATTTCCACATGCTTCTTTTCCTTGTTTTGCCTCAAAAGAAGGAGAGAGAGAATCCGAGACAAGGGGGGAAGCAGAGGAATTCAGGGGACTTGTTCCCATCATCAAATGCAGATTTTTCAGATGAGCATCTTCAGAGAAGTCAGATTTTGTTTCTGAAGTTGCTCTTTCCATAGAGGAAAAAATAGAAACCAAAGGAGATGTTCTCCACCACCCATTTGCCAGAAATGCCAGTTCATAACCTGTGGTAACGGGCTTTGGATTCATCTTGGAGAGGACTTTCCTGGAAGGATGAGGATGTTGCCTGATTCAGAGCTGCTTTGCCTTGGATGGGATTCAGGACAATCCCAAACTGACCTTTTTCATGGAAGATTTCATCTTTCTGTCAACCTTATGCCAAACTGGGATTGTTCCCATTCAAGGCAAACATGGGATCACAATCCTTTAGCTGAAAATTTTCACTTTTTAAAGGTTTTCAACATTCTGGTTGCAAGATCAGACACTTTCTGGAGGAGGAAGAAAACCAGCTTTGTTAGAAAAAAACCAATTTCTCACAGTTCAGAGTTTGGGGATAGATCACAGAGGCACAGAGTGAGGATGAGCTGGGAAGAGGTGGGAGGTGGAAGGTGGAGTTTTCCTAGAAGAGCTGAAGGACACTGTGTTTGGGACTCGTCCCTTACCCCACCCTGACTCTGCTGCTCTGGCCACGTGGCCCAGTGCTTTATATCTATGCAAAGTGTATAATCCCAGAGCTGTAAATCCTCCTGCCTCCTTGGACCCTTTGGAAGTGATCCATGCCTGAGGCTTTGCCTGGTGGAGAACAAAAGGAAGTTTTTTTCCCTTCCCTTTCCCTCTCTTTCTCTCTCTTTTGGGACCTCAGCACTGCTGCAGGAGCACCTTAGTCTCTGTTGCTGTTGCCTTCCTGGGAATCTCCTCCTCCTCCCTGCAGCATCCCCGATGGCCCTGGGGGCTCTCCAGGAGCGAGGTGGATCCTCGGAGACCAGACCCCACTGAGCAAAGTGTTGTACAGACCCTGACTGAACCTGCTCCATCTGAGCCTCCTCACCCCGTTTCCTCCTCCCTCCTCTGTTTCATTTCCAGACTGACACAGATGAACAAAGAGGGATCTTTGGGCCACGCTGGTTTCACCAACTCCCCTCGGTGGAAGGCTGCCCATGTCCTTTTGTGCGGATCCTTCCCGCTCAGATGATGTTTGATGTCTTCAAAGGGGCTCTTCTTATGTCAGGAAAAGAGGGCAAGCGCAGGTTGGACGAGGCTTGGCGCTCAAAGCTATTTTTTCACTCAGAAAAGTGCCAGTTTGGGATTTTAAAAAATATGTATTCTGTTTTTCATAGACTGATATGTGGGTGGATAACTCATAAAGGTCTCGGAGCTTCCAACGCTGCCTGGCTTTGTAATGTGCCAGGAGGGATCTGGGCTGAACTGGGGGGATTGAAGCCTCTGTGCTTCCCATGTGGGAACCCCCTAAAATGGGTTGGGGTGTCCTGTATCTCCAAATCCTGAGCACAGAAAGGATTGAGCCAAAAAGGATTGATCTGAGGGCTGAAGCACCTCTGCCCTGGAGACAGACTGGGAGAGCTGGTGGTGTCCATCCCGGAGAAGGGAAGGCTCTGGGGAGACCTTAGACCCCCTTCCAGTGTGTAAAGGGGCTCCAAGAGAGCTGGAGAGGGACTTTGGGCAAGGGCAGGGAGTGACTGGAAGTGTTCAAGGCCAGGTTGGACAGGGCTTGGAGTAACCTGGGATAGTGGAAGGTGTCCCAGGGGTGATGCTCTGGGATGCAGAGCCAGCCCTGCTCCACCATCCTGGCCATGAATCCAGGGGGCCAACTGGAATCAGGGCTGGGGGTGGCCAAAGAGGTTCTCATCTGGTTTTTGGTGGCAAGGGAGAGGGGAATGCTGTCCCTCCCCAGAAGAAGGGGGTGGCAGGAAGCGGAGCCTCAGCGCCGGGGCACCGCGATTCCGGGAAATGGGTCTGGGGCCCCCTTCCAAGAAGGTCGGGCTCCTGCCACCAGGACCCGGTTCTGCAGAAGTGGGTGCAGCAGAGACTCCCCAGTGGGAGCCCCAGAGGGGCCGACCCCTCCAGAAAATCCTGGACCTCCAACGGGACTGGGTTAAGACCTGGGTTTAAGGCTCAGCACAGCCTAAGAGCCAGCCTGGTGCTCGCCCTCATCCTGTTTGTCCCCTTGAGTGAAGACTTTTGGGGGGCAAAGCCAACGGGGTCTTTGCTG